AAAAGAAAATGAGTTCTCAAAGACAAAACTGTGTAACTAAAAATTGATCATTTTTAAAGTAATAGTTCTAAAGTCTCTTCTATGGCTTATACTTTGAACAGGATTTCTGCACCACTTACATTACTGATTTAGTTCCCACATTCCAAAAGGTCAAGATTATAAAGTATTTAATACAAATATGGCAGATGTATAGAAATACTTTTATAACAAAATACTATGATTTCTTTTTGAGGCATTCAAGCAACACATTTGCAACGCATACTCCTACAAACCTGAAAATCATTACTACTTTTGACAAAGTCTTTGGCAGAGTACCATAATAAATGCTCCAATTCTGATATTTCATCTGGAAATATCCAGTTGATTTCAAAGTCCCTCAAACCACACGGACACATGGCAATAATACAGGATTTTGGACTGCTGTTTTTAAAAACAACTTTGACTGCTTTGGGCTAACTTATTTTAGTTCGTTTTTATATATCTGAGAAATGTAACTTAAATAAATGCAGAGAGGCTGTTTGAACCTAGAATGCATTTTCTACTTTAAGAAAAAAGTATGACATATAGTAAGCTACAAACTAACCTATACCTTATTATATGTTGTAACATATAGTTTAGTTTTTTAAACTAAAATATGACTTAAACGATTATTTATAATGAAAATACTAGAGGAAGATCCCTGTAACAATAAAACGGAAAATTTGACTGAAAGACATTTCAATCTCTCCTAAACGTAAACATGCAGAGATTGCCCACTGTCCCTCAATATCTACTTTCCCCTTTTTACACAGTAATAAAAATTTCTGGACATAAGACACAGCTGAAAAATCATATTTCACAGATTCCCTTGCAGCTAGGTGAAGCCCTGTGACTTATTCTGGACAATGGGATTCGAGCAAAAGTAAAGCATTTTTACACAAGGCCATAATATTACATAAAGGCCATCTAAGTGCGATAGCCTTAAAGAAAATGCGTATGTTCTTTATTTTCTCTTTAACTCAGTCCTGTTGCTTGAAAGGTGAACCTAACAGTGATCATGAGGTAAAAACTCATTGTTAAAAGTGGCAAAACAACATGATTAAAAACAGAAACAGACTCACAGACATAGAAAACTAACTTACAGTTATCATGGGGAAAGGGATGGGAAGGGATAAATTGGGAGTGCGAGATTTGCAGATACTAACTACTATATATAAAATAGATAAATGACAAGTTCATACTGTATAGCACAGGCAACTATCTATTCACTATCTTGCAGTAACTTATGGTGAAAAAGAATATGAAAACGAATGTATGTACATTCATGTATGACTGAAGCATTATGCTGTACATCAGAAATTGACACAACACTGTAAATTGACTATATACTTTAAAAATATGTATATACACAAAAAAGAAAATAAAGAGAAAAAGAAGCAGCCCTAGGCCTCCATATCATAAAGCCATCGTATTAACCCAGGCCTGCCTATTTGGATCTTTACATTACAGAAAAGCAAACCTCCAGGCTACTTAAATCATCACATTTTCAGTCTAGACTGTATCTGAACCCAATATCTGATGGTGAGGGTAGGGAAAAGGAAAGAAAAGAAAATGCAAATATATTTTATTATAATTCTAAGAGATCTAAAGCCAATTCGAATGTGTTATGTTTATGTGTGTGTTTATCATGTTTAATTTTGCTTCAAACCTCATGGCTTTCCTTCATTAGGAGTATTTTTAGAAATATAAAACTACAGTATATTAGATGACCTGGAATGAATCCAAGAAATCACTTCAAAATTTTATAGATGAGAAAACAGAGGTATGAGCAAGCTAAATGATGACCCCAAAGTTACTCTTACCAAAAATAATTAGGTCTTTTTTATGTGGCTCATGAATGAAAATGTTTTCTGAACAGAGCCAATTACAAAAGCAAAAGAGGAAGAGGAATTAGTTTAATTTTTTTTAATTTTTAATTAAGATGTATTGTTTGCATGACAAAGTGTGTACTGCAGAATCCCTATGAATTGTGAAAGGCAGAGGGAAAACAGTGACACAAAGTATGTGAATAATCTGCTGAGTGGGCGACAGTATTTATAGTAAAGAGATAATGAGTTCTAAATGCTTGCACTAGAGTATATCTTCATTCAGAACAGTCTACTGCCAACTGAAGAGTTCTAATGATGGGGCAGGAAGGGTCTCAGCAGTCTACACCTTACAGATAAAAAAGAGCACCTAGCTGGCCATTCAAGATTTATTCCAATAAGAATTAAGCTAAAATAAAAAACTTCTATGTTATCTGCAAGGAATAGCCAATGAGAGCATAAATGAAATTTTAGGTATTATGAGCTCAAAAGCAATCTCATGAAAATTATGGACCGATTCCCTCCAAACAATATATATAAATATCAATATACACACTATATATATATATATTAAATATTTCATTGCTTTGGAAAATGACAATTCTTTCACTCTAATAAAACACAAGATACTACTTCCAAAAAATCAGGTCTTTTTGGATATAAAAATTAGTAGTTACCCCCTTTTAAAAAACAGAAAAAAAAGAAAATTTGATACAAATGTAAATTTCAAATAAGCCTTGTATGACTTAAATACTCTAAACGTTCAAATTATGGAGTGATCTCCAATGCAGCATTAGACTTATAAAACTTCTTGAAGCGGCAGCCAACAACTGCCCCAAAACCCTAACTCTCAGTGGTATCAAACTCACAGCAGACTGTACTTAGAACTCATGGAATATACTTTACCATGGGAGAGTAAGCTTGTGTCAACAAACAACCGAATTCACTACAACTTTTTGAGTTGAATCTACATTCATTCTTTTCTTTTCTTCTAAGTGTTAGGAGGTCATTACTGGCAACAATCAGATGTGTGTGTCATCAAGGAAAGGATTACAAACTCCTTTTAAATTTTTAGGTCATCCAAAGCAAAATTAGCCTTAAAAACTATTCTGCCATGTTTCCAATTGTCTGCATATTTTTGCCAGCAGATGAATTTACAAGATACTGTCACTCTGAAATTCAACTTGCAGAAACACATCCTGAAGCACTCACCAGAAGATTCCCACGGAAGTTTGGCCAAATGAACTTGTGATTTTCATCTGCATCCATAAGGCTGACTCAAAGCACCTCAAACTGAAAGTTTTACCACATCCAAATATCCAAAAATATCTATCAAGTAAGTCAAGTCACGAACTCCTCCTCATCAAACTGTTCTGGGAGTAGCCTTTCTTTTTCTCGTAAGCAAATGAAAAAATGAATAAATAATGAGGCATCTATCTAAACTGCATTGTAGTGTTTTAGGGCATATCTGTTTGGAAACCAACACTTCTGCATTGCTGGGAATCTCTTATTCTGTTTCCATTTCTTGAGAAAACCTGTTGAAAGGTGGTTCAAGGCTTTGGCTCTGATAAAGTTGATTAACTTCAAGGTAGTAAACAAGGTATCTTTTCAGGATTATTATCAGTTTTTGAGACTGATAAATGCCAAGTCGATTGTAAAAGCCTTAAGTCATGAGGAATTGAAGTTCTTTCTTCACAAAAGCAACAAGATCAGATGTATCTCCAAGCATGGCAAGTACTCCATCCATGCCTGATGTACCTAACCCTCCTTTCCACCATGCCAAAGATATCAAAAGCCTTTCAAGTTCCCAGAAGATACCTCTGAAACTTGGGATCTGTTACACACCAGGGTACACAAAATAGATGAAAACCAGAAACTGGCTGCATGAAATAATGTTAGTTATTATAAACAAATAAATGCTTGTTGAGTGGGAAATAGCATTATTCCCAATTTGACAATAATCTGCTTCAAAATATCAGAAGAGTCAACAGTTCTGTAGTATACATTTGATTGTACTTAAGTCATAGGAAAGAACATTTTGTGATAAATAACAGAATTTCAGTAGTCAGCTCAAACCTTACTTACCCTATTTTAAATTTTCATCTTAAGGACCTCAGCATATTAAAACTCATGTAAACAGACAGCTTAGTAGAATAAGTATGTATCTTTTAAACAGATATAATTACTGAATCCAGGCTCTTTCTATTATTCTCTATAGGATAAATGAAAGCAATGATTCCATCTGTTCCTTCAAATGTTTCTCTAATTGGTGAGATCCTTTTAATCATTGTGAATTAAAGAATTTTCTTAAAAAATAATTTTTAAAATTCAGTTCAGCTCCAGCACAAACTGTCTATAACAGTCTCTAAACTTAATGTAGTGAAAATCTCCCTCCTTTTCTTGTATTATAGATCTAATATCTGACTGACAAACCACTGATAAAAAGCAAGTAATTCAACCTCTAAATATACCATAAACTTGAATAAAATATACAAACACTAAGTACTATACTTTTGATAAATAAATCATCTGCCGTGATTTAAATTGGTGCAAAAAAATGTAGAAACTGAGCAGGACAAGTAGCAGATATTCTTGTCTTTATAGTATGCAAGTTTTGGAAAGCTTGGGTTGAAAGTTATTTCTTTTTATTTTAATAATTCTAAGTTTGATAACATAAATAAAATACCTTAATTTCTAGTCATACATCTGACTACACTTAACTATATCATTTTATAATTTCAAATACATTCTATTAAGGAAGAAAATAAGTCATAATTATTAAATATTCAGAGGAAAATATATTATTTTCTTTATTAAAATGAGTATTTCCCCCAAACTTATTTCAATAAATCTTGCCTCATGGTATAAAACTTCTGACCCCACTTTTCAGAATTGCTCATTCATGTGATTATCTCAATATTTAGTTTTAAAGCATTAAAAACAAAATACATTTTCTAATAATTATGTTCCATAATTCATTAATATAAAGCACATATAATGACTATCACTTTGAAGGATTTTCCAACTTAGAAACCAAGTACTTTCCAACTTTTATTTCTGATGTATTCTGGGAATAATATGCTAGTGACTTAAATAATTTCTCAGTATGTGTTCTGACATCTTACCACTTACAACATTATGGAAAGTTTTACTTACTGAAACATCTTTCAGGTTTTTATCAAAGGAGAAATGACAGGAATCCTTAGAAAAATTAAACTTGTATGTGTCAGCTGGTCCTGCTCCTGACACCAATGCTTTTCTCAGTTCATCAACATATTTCTCTTTTTCCATCGCCATGTCATCTGCTTCTTGGGAAATCTTTGATTCACGAACTAAGAGAAACATTAATAAAAAGTTTTATTAACTTGAAAACAAATTTCTAAACATAAGAATAAAGTTGTTTACTTGTTGCTACTAATTTATTACTTATGTAACAGAAATGTAAACAAAAAGTCAAATGAATCCCCACATATTTTTAAGTCAAATTATACCCCTTAACTGATCGAGCAATTTTTGAGAAATACAGTAATTTAGTCTCAAATCTCATCTGAAAAGCATTAGACTCCTTGCATTCTTTCTCTGTCCTCAGACGAAAGAAACAACCAGCTTGTGTACCTGCTCCAAGGCCATACCAGAGAAATTATTTCCTATGAAGATTAATAAGCTCCGTATTTTACATCTTTCTTCCTTGTCTCAATTATTAAAGAGATTAAATACTCTATCATCTATTTCTCACTCACATGGGCAGAGTCAAATTTAAAGTCAAGATGGAGTTCATTCTTTTCATCCCATTAGGCGCCAACAATAAAAAAGGTGGATGAAGGGAGTTGATGAGGAAGGAAAGGGAAGGGATTAATATTTACTGAGTGTCTCCTCTCTGATAAGCATTTTATTACATATCTGGCTTCTAATTCTCTCAATACTTAAAGCTGATGTTTCACTCATCCACAGAGATTTTTACTTCAATAATTATATTTTCAATCTTAATATTCTCTTTGCTTCTTTTTCACAATATCCTGTCCTTGCCACACCCTTCTTTCAAATATCTGAAGGATTTAAATATATTTAAGATCTCATTCAGATGATCTATAATACATAGATCTCGCTCTATGCATGGTTCCTGGGGTATTAATTCCACTTTTCCTAGCTGCTGACATATTCTCATTCTGCTTTTTTTTGTTTCATGCTTTGTGATACTTGAACATAGCTCTCCTCCAGCCAGCGCATCGAGCGCTCTGGGCACCAGAGGTAGCCTTAAACGAAAGTTGCTGGTTTGCCTTTCTCGGAGTCCCTACAGGTCTCACCAGTTCTGTACCAGCTGTGAAAGTCAATTTCTTAACTTGCTTTTTACACTTGAGGCAAGAAGTTAAATTTAAACTCCCTACCCTGCAACCCCTACATAATATGGACAGGATTCTGATTCTTTTTAGGACTTTTATTTACTCACAGTCCTTAGTGACTACTTTGAGTCTACGCTGTATCTCCAGCCAGAGTAGTTTGTGTGTGTGTGTGTGTGTATTTTTTAAGATGAGATCATTATCACGGGTCACTTCCAGGCTCCTTTCTTTATCTTGAGAGCTCAGTTCCAGTTTCTTAAGAGGCCTGCAGTCTCCACTCCACTCAGGTACTGTTATAACCAGTCATTTAGATGTATATGTAGTTCATATATCCCATGTAGTTCTTTAACTCCCATTAACTGTTTTGGTTTTCAGATACCTCTTCATGCATAGCAGCTGGGGACTTCTCTTTCTTACATTCAAAGGCTGCAATGTGTCTGTTTGCTTTTGAAATTACAAGATTTAATTTAACGTTTGCTAAGAATGCATGTGTGGCTGGGTGATTTCCTGTGTCAACTCAGGCTACCACAATGACCAAAGACCCATATGGTTCTACACTTTCACATTTAAAGGTTACTTTTATCTATTTTATTCCTTATAACACTGAAAGATAGTTTCATTTTACAAATGATTAAATTGAAATTAAAAAAACAAATAATAAAATTGAGGCTCAGAGAAACTAAGTAAGGGTCTAGGGTCATGGAGTCAGTAAGTGGTAAAACTGGGATTCATACTTATATCTCAACGGTTTTTCTGTTTTGAGGTGAAGCATTAGGTAAATTATTTCCTTCCATAATATCAAAAAAATTAGTATAAAATATTATAGAAAACAATGAAATCTTGATTAAAGAATTCCTAAAAATATAACAGCTTTTCATAACTTTGGTCCATGTGCTATCAAGTGTCTGGAAGCCCCATGAAAAACAGGCAACTAGGAAGAATCTGGGAATGTATCCATATTTTTTTCATGATCAATTTTTAATAAGTTCTGACATTGGAATATGAGTCTCAACACAGCCTTTGAGAAAAGGTAAGAATAAAAATATTCTTCTGTGATTTTACAGCTTCTAAAATTCTGCCACATATTTTTCTCTGCCTGAAGCATATGCATATTTAAGATTATCACCACTATAAAATCTACTGACCTTTCAAAAACCCTATTAGCTCTCCTGAAAAAAACATAAAAATAAGAAGGCAAATGTTTCCTATCTGAGGAATAATTTCATATTTTGTGTTTGGAGAGTTTTTGTACCTAGAGAGAGAAATTATTTCACAGAGAAATAGGAAATAATCTATAGAATCTATCTTTAATGTAACTATAGAAAAATTCTTAAGAAAATATACACACAAGAAGTATGTCTACTGACAAAACATCTAGTAAGAAGTATTCTAAATTTCATTAAAATGAAAAGAAACCATTCTGAAAATATTGAATAGAAGTTATTGATTCATTTATTCAAAAAATGCTCAATGAACATCTACTATGTGCCAGGCACTATTTAAGGCACCAGGGATACAAGTTAGATACTTGACTCAGGTACTGACATCTTAGATATCCTTTCAGATAGCCTCTTACATATTACCTTAGATATCCTCTTATGTTACTCTGGTCTAAGATTATGTTATAAAATATTTCATTCTTGGAAGGAAAAAAAACTTATGCAAGGAAATCATTTCTATTTATACTTATTCTTAGAAAATGTTTTTTAAAAAGGTATTAACTTAAGAAAAAAAAAATTCCTTGAACATTTCTTGTAACAGTTAAAGTGAAATTCTGACTGCCTATTTAGAACTTCAATCCTAGAAAAACACTTTGGTCACTGGTTTTGAATTCTGTACTGGAAGAAGCACAGCTGTAAGCACTCAATGCTCCAAAAACTTCAGTGCTCAGGGATAAAAGTCACGGAGATAATCAAACTCAGTAAGGACACAGCTGAACCACACAATATGGCATAAAAAGTGAGTAGGCCAACATGACCAAAAAACAAAGAATTGGTCTTAAACAGGTAGGGAGCCAAGAAAGCATCCCTTTAACACTGTTTGTGGGGAGGTGAAGATGTACATGAGGAAAGAAGATTCTTTACTTTGGATCCTATGTTTAATGCATCAAAAGACGGCATATCCTAAGTTGGTGTCAGAGTCAAGAAAGCACACAGACTTAATAAGTCATCACATCATGGACACATATTACTACTTCATTCATTAAAAATCCTTTTTCTACTGAGCTCTGTCACATTATTTCCATATAGGTCACCAAATATATCAATGTTTAGAACAAATGTAAGTGGATATATTATTTGATAATATATGCAGTAATAAAATTTAATTTACTCTTCAGTGAACTTTAAACTACTCCAAAGATGGGTGATATAAGCTTCTTAGTGACTGCAATTTTTATGAAAATCACATAATAGTCATCGATCATTAACCTACTTTGTTACTTAACCCTGTGATATAACCCTCTATAATGTTGAAGTGATGATAGACCGCATGATAATTAGACCCCAAAACATTCATTAGATAAAACATTGCTAATGGAAAAGAAATCAGTGAGTTTAGTGTGTGGGAGATTAAAAGGAACCCCACATCCTTTTAATTTCACTCAAATGAAAAGAGAAAAAAAATTATCCAAATTGAAGGTTGCAGCAATCAAAAGTTGTACAAAAAACAGGATGAGGTATAGGAAGGAAATTCATTTTTATGTTTCAATTATTTAATTGTTTCAATGTTCTTAATCATGTTACTGTCTATCTGTAAAGTGCCAAACCAAATTGTAGTTACGTATAAGCCTTAACTAAACATGGAAACAAAATTATTTGGTTTCATATTTTGCCCCTGAAATGTACACAAGAAAACAGAAATGAATAATAAAAGCCATAAAACATTTGTGAGATTTAAAAGTTTGATCTCTGAAAATAACCATATCCAGTGCACTGTAAAGATTTTCTATTTGAAAACTTACTCATTACAGCAAGCCAAAATGTTCACAAACCACCAAAGGATACAGAAGTTTGATAACACATTTTTATCACACTAAATTTCATTAGCTGAAAAACAAATGGTAAAACATACTGCATTTATGATCAATGCTGACAATAAGTAAATATGACACTAGAGTTTTCATTAAAAAGTATGCTCACTCTAAAATGAATGGTTCACTTTCCTTTTTTCCCATAACCAGTTTTACATATTTGAGGCATCCTTTCATTCTTTTTTTCCAAAGAATATCCACTGAGCATGTATGTCTTATGTACTGGTCTGGCTTCTTATGAACAGTGGCTGACAAATTGGTGTCCCTTGTTCTCAATGGTTGCAGATTAGTTAAACAATACTCATATTAATAACACTAAGAGCAACTGCTAGCACATTTTGTATGACATAAACAAAATGTTCCATAAATGTAAAGTTTACTTAAATTTCTGGTTAAATTAAGATTTGAGAGTTATTCAGAATAATCTTTTTTTCTTTTCCCAATCCTTAAGGATATACAAAATTCAAATAACATATTATTATTGTTCTTTGCCTTGGTGAATGAGGTTTACTGACTACATTAAAATTTAATCTTTTCCTTTGATAATTAAGGCTCTTAAAAAACCTCAAGGTCATCCATCTGACCGTAACTTCTCATTATACAGAGTAAGCCATTTGCCAACTGGAAATATCTAAGTTACAAATACAGTATTCTTTACATACAACCAATCACTTCACCTAGGACCTGCCTCCTGAGCTGTGCTGTTGGAGCCGCTCTTTTCTCCCAGAAAACTGGCATTAACCTACTGCCATGATCTTCAACACTGTGCATTACTCACCATTCACCCTAAAACAGAGCTACTGTCAGTTGGGCACACCTTTACCAGCAAATACACAGCTAACCTGCCCAATTTTCCTCCACTCCTGCACTGCGACAACCAACCAACAAGTGATTTCTCTTACGTAGAAATTTACAGCTTAAATAGATATAACTAGTACAAACATTATCCTTGAAATTTCTTTATTTTACAATAATACGTATATCAATATTCCTTGCTCTCTGTCATAAAAAACTAGTAAGAAAACCCCAAAACCCTAAAGTAAAAATTCAGTTTGACTATATTGTATAACACAGTTTCTAGTATTCAAGAAAGAAATAAAGCTTCACAATGTATTGTGACTTTAAAAAGTGATATAATAATTACAGGAACAAATTTTAGGGAAATATTTCAAAAATTGATAAAAGATATAAATACATGTAAATTAACATGACAAAATTATGTTACCTAAAACATCATTTACAACATAACTCTAGAAATGACTGCTGTTTAACTGTAGAAATAGCTTTAAAAATCTTTGAATAAAATACTTTAGACGTGTATTAAAACTTTGCTATATGAGTAAAACATAACTGCAGATATTTTGACTTTACACCTGCAATGTTCCATAAATGATCAGGGCCATTAGCCTTTTTAAAAGATTATTGCCAAAGATTAAAAGAAATCAAAAGTCTATTTCATAAAAATAATGGCCAAAATCCCACATACGGATTTGAACCTTGGTTTTCAAAGTTTTAGGCTTTGAGTTCAGTTTTGTTTTGTTACAAATGTAGTACATGTTCATTGGAAAATAATTCAAACAATATAAGTATATGAAACAAAAAAGAAAACCATCACCACCCCATCCTCCCAAGTGTTGGCCCAGTCAACCCACCTTCCTATGCTCCCAATATTTCCCTGGGGTCCTGAGAAAAGATAACATTTAAAAAGTACTATTTATGTTTTGTACAAAGAGACCATTTTAAAACCTCTGACCAACTCCGTTACTAAGACCCAAATGGTTATTTCTCTTTCTTTCTATTAATATTACTTACAGAAAACAGCATCAATATTACAAATCAGTGTGTAAATTAGGCAATAACAAGTAAAAGTAATTATGTTCGTTTTAATCAATATCTATTAAAGAAACACTATAATTTAAAGTATCACTGAGAACTGAGGAATAGCACATTATTGAAATTTTTTATTAAAAAATTTGCTTTTACTATTACCTGTGCCGATCCATGCTGACTGACCATCAGTAAGTGTAATAACAAAACCCGATCCTAGTGTTTTCTCCCAAGCAACTTGTAGAAAATGAACTACATCAGGTTCAGAAGCAAGGTAGATTCTGCTTACTTTTCTCTCCATTTCTGATCACCTGTCATAAAAGAATAAAATTAATATTTTTGCAAGAAATTGTGACTATCAAATAGTGATGTATTGGTCTCTCAGTTACATTAAGCACAAAGGAAGTAAGTAAAACAGAAAGCTGTATAACAGCCAACCATCAACTCTGTAAAGCACAGTCCCGTACAATACTGATTCACAATTTTTACCGATAAGAAAAGCAGAGGCTCATAAATGGCAAGTGATTTGCCCAGGTCATGGAACAAAATAGAAATTACTATCTCCAACAATATGAAGATTACATTTTCTCCAGAAGTCAGTAGGCTCTTTCTCTACAACAAAAGAAATGGTCACAAGAACTTGTATGAGTGATCTAGGAATAATCTCGAGACTGGGATGTGATTATAATTGGTGAGAATAAATTTGATCAAGGGTCTTAGTCTCCCATCTGGAAAAAGACTATGTGAAATGAAAAAGGAGAGTAAGCACAAAGATTAGGAAAAGAAAACCTGAGAACCCAAGAACTGGCCGAACCCTGTCATGCCTTCTCTAAGAAAGGGGTTCCCAGGACTCACCCTGTCCACTGAGACAAAAGTACCCTGTAATAGAGATGGGTTATAACAAGCTATCATAGCCTGACGCCAGTAAACTTTCTTTGAATTTTTATAACTTTATATTGAAGTATTATATACAGGGAGAAGCATATATATCTAAAATCCAACCTGGTAAGTTTCACAACTGAACAAATCCATTATCAGTGTCTAGATGAAGAAGCAGAATATTACCACCCCAGAACTCATTCTCACAACACCTCCTTTCTAGTCACTATGTCCCCAAATAACCACTCACCTAACAGAGATGAGAGTTTTCAGTATTTTTGTACTGTTACATAAATATAATCATACTGCACATTTTGTGACTGGCTTCTTTCGTTCAACATTATATTTGAGAAATTCATCTATATTGTTTCTTAGAGTTGTAGATCGTACTTTTCCAGGTTGTGAGGTTCAAACAGTGTTGTCACAAACATGCTAGCAAATATCTAGGCTTTTCTGTTGGTACATGCCTTTGAGTATATACCATGAGTGGAATTTCAGGATCAGAGGAAACACATATGTTCAGTTTTAGTATTATACAGACAAAAGTTTCCCAAAAGGTTTGTACCAATCTACACACTTGGGATATGAGAGTTCTCATCATTCCATGTCCATGCAAACATTTCTCATCTTTTTAATTTTAGCCATTTTGGTGGGTATGTAGTAATACATTGTGGTTTTAATTCACATTTCCCTGATGAGTAATGAGGTTTAGTCCTTCTCATATCTTCACTGGACATTTGTATATCCTGCTTTGTGGAGTTAAATCTTGCCAATGTTTTTATTCAGTTGTATTTTTCTTATTGATGTTCCTATTGTTATGTTATTTTCTTCTTGATTTATTCTTTATATTTTGTATATGAATCCTTTATAGATATACATACTGTGAATATCTCCCTCCATTCTGAAAGTTACCTTTTCACTCTCATAATGGTATCTTTGGATAAAAAGTTCTTAATTTTCATGAAGTTAAAATTTATCAAAATTTCTATGCTATAGTTATATTTTTTATGTCCTGCTTAAGAACTGTTCAGTCACTAAGACATTCTACCATGTTTATCTAACAGCTTTACAATTGTACCTCTCACATTTAGATCTGCAATCCATCTGGAATTGATTTTTGTGCATCCTGTTAGGAAGAAGTCAAAATATATTTTTTTTCCACATGGAGATCTCATTGACCCAGTACCATGTATTAAAGATTATCCTTTCCCAACTGCAGCACTGTGTTACCATTGCCATAAATCATGTGACCAAACATGTATACAAGTTCAATTTTTATTTGTTTGACTTTTTGTAGGAATGTGATTATATATTTTCTACTTGGCTTATCAAGGTTATACTGAATAGTGATTCTGTTACTGTGGTTCAACATATTCATAATATCTCAGAGACCCAACCATTTAAAAATTTGATAAACTTTTCTTCTAAGTTTTAAAATCACTTACGTAAAATACTGAGCAGGACAAGCTCAAGCATAGACTTCTGTGGCTTGCCATTGGAAACAAGCCTCTCTTAGACGTCAGTCACTACTACTAGGCGAGTGTACTGCTGATATCTCCAGTTAAATCACAAAGATATCAGTAAAGTCCTTTGCAAAACCTGCCTACTCTGCCAGTTTAGCAATATTATTTAAAAAAAAAATTTAGATTTTTTCTTAGTGACCCCACTTTCATTTCTAATGATTATGGATTCTTTTTCTTTTAATTCAAAAACTATTCTTCTGGTAATTCACTCTAGAATCTTGTTCAGATTATCCTCAAACTTACCGGACTGCAGTATGACACATATTCTTTAGTTTAAAGCAAACAACCATATTTTTTTTTCTAATACTGGAATATCCTATGGCCATGTGCACTTCATTAAGAGATGCCTAAGCTATAGAAGCTAACGAACAAAACTAAAAAAGTACCCTAAAAATTACAAATACGCAAAGAAAAAACATTATAAAAAGTCAAAATTAGCAACAAAGCACAAACTTCAAATATGAAAAACTAGAGAGAATTATTCTTTAATCACATAGTATGAATCTCTTACTAGATGATTCTGAAAAAGTTAAAAGAATATTCTTTAATCTTTTATTTGGGGAGGAGGGTACAAAATTACCTCAAATTTTTATGACAAATACAAATAATATACTATGACATTCCAAAGGTAAGTTATTCATTGACAACTGATTAATAAGTTTCAATAGGAGCAAATTTTGAATCAACTTTTAATTTGCTTCCTCAATTTAAAAGTATTATGTTCTCACATATAAAGCATCCTATTTTTCTCAATTAACAAGTGAATGTGAAAATAAAAACAACTCACTCTGTCAGCTCTTTACAAAACAAAGCTAACTTCTCTATCTTCTGGGGGTGAGAGGTATGCTTAATTACAGAATGCTAGAGTTGTACTATCTTATAGTAAAAACTACAAGGAACCAGACAAAAGTCCAAAATGAAAGAAAATGATATCTAAAATTAAGAGTGTAAAATACCTCTAAACTGATAAATCAGCAATAATTCTAACAGCTACCTAAAGATTACTCAGGAAGTTATTCTTCCCAATAAAAAAAAAAAGACAGTTATAAAACAAGCACACCTGTAGCCACATCAATTAAGCACGTTACATTTTTTAAATATACAAATCTGTAGGTTGGACTACATCATAATCACTGAAAAAAGTAGAGTTATTTTTAAATATTTCATTTAGTCAAATTTTTTTCCTACATTGAGGTCTTCTTTGCCTAAATGTACTTAATTCTGAAATGTTTTATCCACTTGTAAATATTTTCTTTTAGATCAGTTAGTGAATACACTTAACATGTAATAAATTACCCACATTTTCTGTAATTCTTAAATTTGAAAATTACTGGAAAGTGTGTGCAACTGTTTTTCTATGCCAATCATTGAAAAAGACACATACTTAGAGGCTTACATAATTCCAATGGGCCCCAAACCCACAATTCTGGGTGGGAGTAGGGAAATAGAAACTACTGTTGAAGGCGGTTTTTTTGCCTCTTTACAATTTATACACACACACACACACACTGAGATACATACACACTTACAGAGATTATTTCTTCTTAAATATGCCTCAGAACCATGACTATTGTTAGCATTAATATAACTGATTATTACTCTAAAATAGCAATTGGTTTCACTACTATTTCTTAGCATGTTTGAAACAAATGACCAATTTCTAATTACAGAAGCAAGTTAACTTAAAATTCAATATGGCAGATGCCCATAAGTAAATCATACTTTCACAATAATATAAAAGATTTTAATCTCAATAATGTTAAAAAGACATTTAGGGATTGATTAGTTTTAACATCTTTGAATTATTCATGTTTCAAACATTTTCCAATTTTCTGACTAACTCTAGGTACTCATCACAAAATCTAAGTATTTTAAAGATTCTATTATTTTCATTAACTCAGATTTGAAATTTTGGGTGCTACCTATGGGCCATATTTAAGTACTTAACATATTAATAGCCCAAACGTGACAACTCAGTATCCTTTAAGTATTTTATGCCTCAATAGCCTAATAAATGTTTTCTTTATATCAACTGAGTCAATTTCCTGATAGTGTACTATTTGAACCAATTTTGAATGCACTTCATTCTTTTACTTAGTGAGGTCAGTCTCATTAAATACAAATACAAAATACCTAACGCTCAACCATAGAAACAGAAAAAGGATGACTTGGAATTTCTTTTAAGATTCAGTAAGAGCGAATCAAGGATCTCTTTGCTTTCACCAGTACTGTAAATGGGAATAGTCAGTCATGGGTTTTCTGCCCCAAGACTTTACTTGAAGAAAGGGGGTGGAATCATCTTCAGAAGGACTGATTGATTAGGGCCATAAGAAAGCCTGTGTTTTGTTTTTTAAGGGCACTAAAGGTCGGACTAGTATCAGCACCTCTCCCAGCCAAAACCAAGGATCTAAGACAAGCCTGCAGGTGGAAACAGTTGGGTCCCACCCCAATTTGTACATCAGTAGCTTTATTGAGAGCTCAGAACAGTTGAGAATTGAGAAGCTTATCTTTAGTACTTTGTGTCTTTGATACTTGGCTTCTCTCTTAGAAGAGAAGTAAGTTGTTGGCTGGTATGCAATTGATGTGATCTAGACTCTGAACAAATGCCATTCACAGTTGCTTCTGAATAAACAAGACGCTTTTTAAATTAGTTTACAAAGAATTTTGTATGCCCTTTTGGATGCTGATAAGAAGGAGCGCAGAAGCCAACTCTCTTAGGTCAGCTCAAGTTAGTGACAACACTGTATCATTGATAACACAATTTTGAACTTGAGCTTCTTTTATTTTCCTTTATAGTAAGTTATGGCTTCCTTTCAAGCTGCTTGGGCTGCAGGTGTTCAAACTTCAGCAGCAATGCCAAGGAGTTGTACTTAACAGATCAGAAAGGGCTAAATGCATGTTTCTAATGA